ATTTTTCTGACATCCTCTACATTGTATAAAGTGTCGGGTTACTTTTCTATACCGCCTCTTTTCTTTTTGTGTCCAAACTAGACATTTCACCATGAAAGAACCAATTTGCTTTTTTTTTTATTTTTTATTTTATTTTATTTTTGTTTTGTTTTGGAGTGACAGAGAGAAAGAAGCTCAGTGAACAGAAAAGTCCCCTCTGCTCACAGAAATGTCAGATTACAGCTGCAAACATGGTTTAGACTTCAGTGACTCATCATTGTTTGTGTTCCCTGCCAACAGAGCAAAAAACGCATTCACGGGCAAATTAAGTCCACCCTGCACAAACAGACTGCTAGCCATTAAGGGATGCAATGAAAGTTCAGAACACAAACTTTGGTAAACCAAAACATCAAGCTTGGAACTTTATGTGTCATTTTAAGACATTTAATTTGTTGGGCGGAAGTGCAAAGTTGACAACTTTTAGTATGGGCATGAAACAACAAGTTCTTCCACATAAAAACTGTATTTTTAGTGTCAGTGACTCATAACATCCACCATGTCTATAAATCTAAAAAAACTGAGACAGAACTGACAAAGACTTTGGCTGTGGTTAATATTTTAAAAAGAAAACAAAAAAGTAATGTGGATTGATGGATGGAAGAAAAAGTGACATGTATGAAGAAGCTTCATTGCATGACTGTGCACAGCCGGCGCAGACACCGACGTTGATTAAAAAGAAGAATCATTGTGTTCTGACACACGTCTGAGTCATTTCTGGTAGAATACAGTGTTCTCTGAGTTGACGTCTCTGTTGGAAGAACAACAGTGTTGTCAGCAGCTCCAAAAACTCTTAAAAAATTGCCTGCTGGGACTGTGCTTTGGGTAAGGTTTGTTTAGGTCAGGAACAACTTGATTGTAGATCGGGAAAAATGGTTTAGTTTATAATTTACAATTTTGTAAAGGTCAGAGACTTTCATTTTCAGGACTTCAATAATAAGAACATAATTATAGTCAGGAAATCATCATAGTTGTAGTTTTAACACACTTGAAATAGATTTTACACAATAGTTCATTTTGCTGTTAGTGAGCTAACACTAGTTATGGACTCACTAATACAGTATCTCTGAAAACACAGAGAGTATTACTTGCAAAGGCCAATCAAGTGAGGTAGTTTGCCTTAGGCTACGTTCACACTGCAGGCGAAAGCGCATCAAATCCGATTTTTTTTGACCCTATGCGACCCATATCCGATCATGGTGTGACAGTGTGAACGGCACAAATCCGATATTTTCAAATCCGATCTGGGTCACTTTCGTAT